TGACCCCTTTTACTTTCAATATCGCAGATGACCCCTTTGTATTTTAATATAATATAGGGTAAATTACAACCACCCTGATGTATGGTTAAATTACAAAAACCCCCCTCCTGTTTGGGTAATTATAACTATCCCCTCAACTATAATTTTTCTTACACGTCCACCCTTGCGGATTCAAATTTAGTGGAATCTTCGAGATTATATGGAATATTATTACTTTTGTACCCGTTTTATCCATTCGAACTTCACATTTTGAAGCAAGATGATCATAATATGTGTTTTTTGACTTGTATATATCAGATTGTGATGCATCAGAAACTGTATTTTTACACAAAACAATTACAAACTAGAGCTCATTCCACGAAATCTAGATGACATGTTGAATTTGAAACCATAAGGGTGGAGATGTAAGAAAAAATCATAGTTGAAGAAAGTAGATGTTATTATCCAAATAAGAAGGATTTTTTTCGTAAATTGACCGATGGTTGTAATTTACCCTGTAATATATGATTCATGTTTGCATTTCTTCTTCCTTGCCAATTCAGTATATACAGTATTGACAATGTATCTATTGCTCAATTGCAAATTGATTATTTCCAATGACTAAGACACTTTGGAAAAGGTCCCACCAATTAATTTTCACAAGAAAACTTATTGAGTCTTTTTTTTTTTTAATTTAATTCTTCATTTTTAATTATTATAATTTGTAAATTCATCTACATTCTTGATCACTTCTTCTTATGAACCATTGAAATTAATTCTAAGCTACTCTGGTGATTCTTGAAGGCATTGATCATCATGGAGCCTCATGAATACAAGTTTCCTTGTGAGTTTTTATTTATTTATTTTATTTATTTATTTCTTTTATCTATCTATTCATGTATTATTAATTAGCTCATTTTTTTTTACTTGATTAGACACAATAATGAGCGATGAAGGATCTTCATCGATTCGACTGGCCAACGGGACCAAGCAGCCTATTATGTTTGAGGTAAATCTCATTACATTAAATTGTGTAATTTGTTTCGTGTTTTTAATTTCAATAATTTCTTTAACAAGTTCTTCCATAATAATTTAGACATTTTTTTTATTGTTTGTATTATTTAGATTACGACTTCGAATCTGTACGAGTACTCTGTCCTACCTAGTACGTCAGTTATTCCCCCCGAATCGAGCTATGATGTTAGAGGTACGCTAATTGCCTCGACGTTTGACCTTTAGAAAATTGTAGTTTAGGTCCTCCATGTTAGCCTATTTTGCTATTTAGTCCTTTAACTCGTTGTGTTTAAGTTTTACGTGCAATAACTGCAGTTTAAATATCTTGCAGTTGCACTGGTTGATCCGAAGCCACTCCCTACCAAAGTGAAATTCGAGCACAAGTTTTTCGTCAAGAGTAAAGTTCGGATTCCGGTACGAGTTATATCCAGAAAACAAATTATGCATCCATGTTTAATTTCAGCTAATTAATTACCACTTTATTTGTTGCTATCAAGCCTTGCTTTCAAATAAATATTGAACTAAAATAAAGCCCGATTTCGAAATTACTTAATATTCGGTTAATGCAGTCCGACGATAAGGCTGAATTTCCTGTTCAAGAATTAAAATCGGGAGTTATCTACATTTCACCGGGACAAACCCGAACAAAGCCGGTTGTTGAAAAACCAGCAAGCTCTTCTTCTGCATCAGAAATTACAAATTCGAATATTCCCAAGGTTGTTTTTAAATTAATTCAACTATGTAAATTAAAATTTTAAATTAATTTTTTTTTTAATTTTGTTTTTTTTTTCAAGATGGCTGCAAAGAAACTTCTTGACATTCAGCCTTCAGAGCTCAAGTTTAACTGTGAGCCAAATGACATCAATTTCAATGCACTATCCGAAATTCATACGTTATTCTGCTCTCTTTTTTTCCCCGATTTTTTTTTTAAATAACAATTATAGCCGTTGCCGGATTATATTTTTATTTCTTTTATATTATCCATTTATTATAATTATTGAACTTATTTCCTTTTTTTTTTTTTAATTGATTTTAGACAAGCTAATGAATGATCAAGTATCTTCTTCGATTCGACTGTCCAATAGGACCGAGCAGTATGTTACGTTTAAGGTTGCGTTAATTATATTGTTTGATTTCTAATTTCTTCGTGTTTTTAATAATTTCTTTTATGAATGCTTAGTTCGATGCTAATAGACTATTAAATTTTTATTTTTTTTTCTTGTACTTTTTTTGGTTTGTATTTAGGTCGAGACTTCGAATCCGATGAAGTATTGTGTCTCACCATGCATGGGAATTGTTTTGCCGGAATCGGATTTTGATGTTAGAGGTGCGCTAACTACCTCCACTATTATTTTGAGAAAATTGTAGTTTGGTCCTCTATGTTAGCCTGGCCTATTTAACAGTTTAGTCCTTTAACTACTCATATTTCCATTTTACACCCAACAACTTTGCAAATATATTATTATTTTGCTTCTTTTTTTTTACAGTTACAGTGGTTGATCCAAAGGCACTCCGTACCAGACTAAAATGTGTGCACAAGTTTTCGATCAAGACTGTAGTTTGGAATCTGGTAAAAATTATATCCTATTAACAAATTAAACAAATAGATATCGAATTAAAATATAGCGCCCAGTTTCAAAATTACTTAATTACAGTTAAATCTCTATAAAATTAATACAGTCGGGACTAGGGAAATTCTATTAATTTAGCGAATTATTAAATTATCGAGTTGATAATTTAACACGTTCTCATCGAGTCGGGACCGAGAGAAACTGTTATTTAAGTGAGGTTATTAATGTATTGAGTATTAATTTATCGAGGTTCTAGAGTAACATTCAGTTATTGCAGGTCGATGAGGATGCTGGAATTCCTGTCCAAGAATTCCAATGGGGAGTTCTCTACATTTCACCGGGAGAAATTCAACCACCGGTTGTTGAAAATTCAGCAAGCTCTTCTTCTGCATCAGAAAATACGAATTCGAATATTCCCGAGGTTGATTTTAAATTAATTCAACTATGTAAATCTAAATGTTATCTTGTTTTAAATTAAATTTTTTTTTTTTTTCCAAGATGGCTGCAAAGAAACTTCTTGACATTCAGCCTTCAGAGCTCAAATTTAATTGTGAGCCAGATACATCAATTCTAACGCATTTAATTTTCCGATATTCATACGTTTTTTCCGATATTTTTTTCTTTGATTTTCATTAGTTGAGCCAAATAAGGAGCTCGATTGTTTGCTTCAATTGTCAAACACGACCGAGGATTTTGTATTTTTTAAAGTAAGTATCCATTATACCATGGCGCGCGCAGGAAAATCGATTATAAAATTGTTTATAGAAGCGAAGTTGATATACATATCCGTTATTTGTTTAGGTTAAGACTGCGGATCGAAACAAGTATAGTATTCAACCGGAAATGGGCATCGTTTTGCCTCGATTAACTAGTAACGTCATTGGTAACAATTTTACTTATTTTTTTAATTTAAATATATAATTTCATATATAAACTCAAAGTTTAACAAAAAATCGTTTTTTTTTTCCTTCGTAAAGTGAGAATGAAAGCTCAAAGCGAGATTCCTTCGGACAGGCAATGCGAAGATAAGTTTCTAATTCAGAGTATAGTTGTTACTCCTTCAATGACTACACGAAACGTTACTCCGAAAATGGTAATACATCTTTAACAAATTCAATTTATTTTAAAGTACAATAAATTTTTCTCAAGTGTTTCTTGCTTAATTTGTAGTTTGATGAAAAAGAGCGTTGTGGCGAAGAGTCGAAATTAGGAATCGTTTACACTTTCCCGTTACTAATATCCGATCCGCAATCATCAAGTTCTGCGATATCCAGAGCGCATTCTTCATCGAAGGTAATTTGCTTCTTAGAGTTTCTTCTTCTTATTATTGTTTTTTTAAATTCAAATTATGTTACAAGTTAGAAAATTAAGAAATGTACAAAATTCGAACTCTAGACCTCTACACTAACAGCGGAGAGACTATGTACAAACTCTCCTAATGACCCTCATGTATTATTATTATTTTATTGCAATCAATATTCTATTTTGAGAAATTATGTGTTTGGTATGCGCAAATTATTTTCAGTGTTAATTTTGTTCAGCACAATACTTACATATAGGGAAAATTATAGTTTTCATCCTTCAAGTTTGCACTGATTTCATATTTGGTCCCTTATGTTTCAATAATTCAATAGTTCTGGTCATTTCCGTCAATTTACTGTTATTCTGTCAAGTTAAGACAGTGTTAGACACATGCTTGTTTCCGTTATATATATATAACAATGCAGGGAAAACAAGAGATGAAAACAAAGTGGAGTAGTGAACCTGGTAATTTATGCATCAAAGGCATCATTATTTGCTTAATGGGGCTAATCTTTTGGTACCTCTTGACGAAAATAGTGTCCGATATATGGTATAAATATCCGACCTTTAATCTTCACTAATTCAACGATTAATAACCAAAAAAAATTAAATTTTGTGACACATTGTTGTGGTGCAGGAGTGTGACTATTGTGGAGTTGGTTGTAAAAACGATACAGAACTTGGTTTGGAATTCGGTTGAAGATTGGATTGTGAAGAGCCTTAGTTATATCTTCATTTATTTTATCGCTATCTTTCTCGGAAGGAAGGTAGTAACATGAGTTTTAAAAGCATTTAATTTATTTCCTGATAATGAAATTTAAACTCGATTTTTTTTTATTTTTTTTTTTATTTTTCCTTTTTTGGCTGTGAATATGGCAATGAAGTGCTTTTGTGTGCTCAAGGATATGCATCTGATGGAACTCATAAACTTGTGCTGGTTATTAGTTTTCCACCGTGTTAATGTATGGGTTTTCACTTATGGCCCGGCCCGTTCGTCTAAGTTTTTTTTTTTTTTTTTTTTTGAAGAATGTGAAAGTTTATTTTAAACAGCAAATAAACTCTTATATCTGATAACTTCTATAAAAACGTAAGTTAAAAGGTATTTTTTTCAAAAAAATACACAACTGCACAATAATGCACCAGCCGGGAATCGAACTCATAAAATGCACAAAAAAATACATAAAATGTTCATCACATAAAACAATGCAACATACCTATGTACAAATTATAAGACACTTGTCATAAAAAAGCTCGAGCCCATTAAACTCCTCCCGAAAAGCAGAACAATCCATAAATATTAGCACATTAGCAGCAACAAAACTGTCAATGCAATCATATCACTTGCCATAGTTATTACAATCAAGAAACCGAAAAAAAAAAAAAAAAAAAAAAAAACCTTGATCAATTCACTCCATATTCGCTGCGTCACTTTCCGAATGGTAATGCAATATCTCCTGCCACATCATCTCCCTAATCATCTCTTCCCCCAAATCCTCGTCAATATCAAGATTAATCGGAACCTGAGCTGGCGGATCACATCTCGGGTCATACAAAGGCGACATATACGGATGCTGCAGCGCTTCGTCAACACTAATCCTCTTCGAAGGGTCGAAAACGAGCATCTTCTGCAATAAATCAATCGCCATAGGGTGCGCCTGTGGATAAAGCCTAGCTAAAGGTGTCCCGATCGAATAAGGAAGCGTCTTAATATACTTCCTCGCTTTAGGATTATCGATAAATAAAAGATCATCTTCCCTTTGGCTACCTAAAATGTTGATTATTAATTTGAGCTGGTTGAGACACTCTGTGCCCGGAAAAACGGGCTTTCTGCCGAGAAGCTCTGCGAAGATGCAGCCGACTGACCAAACGTCTATGGAGGTACCGTAGTTGTCACAGCAGAGGAGGAGCTCGGGGGCTCTATACCAACGGGTGACCACGTATTCTGTCATGAATTGGCCTTTGCTGCTGTTTGTTCGCGCGAGTCCGAAATCGCAGATTTTGAGGTCGCAGTTTGCGTTGATTAGTAGGTTTCCTGGTTTTAAGTCGCGGTGGAGAATGTTGGCTGAGTGGAGGTACTTTAGACCTCTTAGTAGCTGCAGACAAGAGATTTGAAAATTTGATCAGATTTTGCGAATACCGCAAAAAATTCATAATGAAAAAAAGGAAATAAAAACATGTTTGTATAATTGGTTTCTAAGGTGGTATTTGCAGAAACTTCTAGAAGCTGATTACGAAAAAACCCCTCCAATTTGGGTAATTACAACCACCCTTCAACTATGAATCTTCTTACACGTCCACCATTGCGGTGTCAAGTTTAGTAGAATCTTCTAAATTATGTGGAATATTCTCCAGTTTGTACACATTTTATCCCATTCGAGCTCCACATTTTGAACCAAGACGATCATACGATATGTCTCTTGGCTTGTAAATATAAGATTGTGGTGCATTAAAAACTGCATTTTTGCACAAAACGAGCACAAACTAGAGAACATTCCACATAATATAGAAGATTACGTTGAATCTGACATCATAAGGGTGGACGTGTAAGAAGATCCATAGTTGAGGGGTGATTGTAATTACCCAAGCATGAGGGTTTTTTTCTTTGTTTGACCTTACGTAGGGGGTGGCCTTAATTTACCCTAAAAAGCTGAGATAGCCATGCCAGATATCGGTACGCAGTATTAGCTAGAATATTTTTGTTCTACGAGTCTCCTCATTTTTTTTTGGTTGCAAACATTCATCCAAATAAGAATATATACACAAGAGAAATACTTTTATGGCATCGAATGATTGTGGGTCGGTCCGAAAAGTTATTGCACTAAACAAACATCAAATAAGACCGAATTATTGTACCAATCACGGCTTATCTTACCGAACAAATGAAGCGTAAAGATAATTGACCTTAATCACCAGTCATTCTATTAGGAAAAGTCTAGTAACGAAAGTCGTACAACATTATCAATTTGATAAGCTCTAACTAATATTACCAATTTGATGGGACACTATTTGCGTAAATTACCTGGAAAAGAAAATACTGGCAATGATCATTCGTGAGTGATTGCGACGACTTAATAATCTGATGCAAATCGGTGTCCATAAGCTCGTAAACCAAATACACGTCTTTGAAACTGCCCTTTTGTACGGGAAGCATCACGTCTTTGAGAGCTATCACATTTTCATGCCTTAGATGCCTTAGAAGCTTCAGCTCGCGCAACGTCCTCATCGCGTCGATGCGGTTTTCAAAGGCGTTGTGTATCTTCTTTATCGCGACCTTTTCGTTTGTTTCCCTGTTCACAGAAGAACACACTATCCCATACGCCCCTCGACCAATAGGCTTGATAGGCACGTATTTCGTGTCGATCTCGAAAAGCGTTTGCCACACGGAGTAGTAATGCTTCCCTTCGGATCTTATCCCGTTCGGAGGTTCCACTGGAGTCGCCATACTATTATACAAAAATAATTAACGAAAAAAAAAATAAAAAAATCGAGTAAGACAAAGTGAGAATGTCCATCGATTTCCATCTATATACAGATCAAATTATCCTAAATCAACCCTTATCAAAATTACCCAGATCATCTCATGACATAAAATCATGATATAATTTGCGAAAATCGATTTTATTAGTAATTGTAGAAAAAAATGGTGGGAAAATAAAAGTTTTCAACTTCATCTTCTTCGCACATTTGCTCGAAAACCTAAATTTAATTACTTCAATTGGTTACTCATAATTTGAACCAATCATCAACGCCATGGATACTATCAACACAGCAACAAATACAAAAGGGGAGAAATTAAAAAAAAAATGATATTTCTTCCTCCCAATCTACTCTACTTCTGTAGAATTCAAAATCCAAAATTCAAAATTCAAAATTCAAAAAAAAAATGAAATCATGTACGATTATATCAGTAAACATGAACAATATCATATTAAAATAAATAAATAAAATTAAATTAAATTAAACGAAATACTTTTTCTGCAGAGGGGAATTCCTGAAATATCTTCAAATCGGGCAGCGGAGCACAAAATTATTCATTTTTTTCCAATTTCAATTTGCAATTTCTTCGCACGAACAAACAAACAACTGCCGATTTTCTTCTGAGTCGAAAATGTTTGTAGAACTGAGCTTGCTTGAGTTTCACTGAATCCGATCAGAGGATCTATGGCAGTGAATTCGAATTACATCACATTTCTGTTGATTATTTTCCTGCAATTGATAATAATTATTTAAATTTATGGATAATATTAATATTATTATTTTTTTCCACCAAAAAAAAAATAAAAAAAAAATGTGAGTAATAAATGTAATGATTGTAATGGGTACCAAAGCAAAGAGCGGAGGAATGTGGGTCACTGAAGTAAACACTCTTGCCATTATTTTAAGGGTAAATTACAACTGGCCCTGAGGTATGGTCAAATTACGAAACACCCCATCTTGTCTGAAAAATTAAAGCTACCTCTCAATTATGAATTTTTTTACATCTTCACTTTTATGGTGTCGAATTCAACATATTCATCTAGATTTCGTGGAATGTGCTCTAGTTTGTACTTGTTTTGTGTAAAAATACAGTTTCTGATGCACCACAATCTAAGTATATACAATCCAAATAACATATCTTATGATCATTTTGCTTTAAAATGCGGAGCTCGAATGGATAAAACGGGTTCAAAAGTGATAGAATCCATATAATCAAGAAGATTCCACTAAATTTGAAACTGCAGGGGTAGACGTGTAAGAAGATTTATAGTTGAGGGGTGGTTGTAATTACCAAAACATGAAGGGATTTTTCGTAATTTAAACCTTATGGGTGGTTGTAATTTACCCTTATTCTAATATACATACATATATTATGTTTTCTGATAGCGTTTTAAAAGTTATAATGAGGGAAAAATACAGTTTTCATCTCTCAATTTTTCATTAATTTTACATTTGGTTCTCCATGTTCATAAAAAAACATATTTGGTCTCTTGTGTTTCAAAAATTCAACATTTTTAGTCATTTCCGTCAATTTTCCGTAAAATTAACGGAATCAAGACCTCAACTAACGGACTAACGGTAAATTGACGGAAATGACTAAAAGTGTTAAATTATTGGAACATGAGGGCAAAATGTGTTTTCGTGAATAAGAGAGACCAAATGTGAAATTGGTGCAAACTTGATGGATAAAAACTGTAATTTCCCCTCATAATTACGTTGCAATACACTTAATGTTATTTGCAACCAAAGCCTCAAGTTTGACTTTTTGCAATTTTTAGCCCACGTGTTTCATATTTGAAAAGACCTCTAATTAATGCTTTTTTGGTCAAATATTCACTTAATATCTCATTTCAATTAATTTTTTTTCTTTTTTTATCTTCTTGTGGGTGTTCAAAATGCTAATGTCACATAGCATAATTGTAATTTGTAGACGTTTGATTATGTGAATTTGTAACAACATAATTTTAGGAATTTAATTATTTTAAGTATATCTAATTACTTAATGCAAGATTACCTATATAGTGTTTATCAAATCAAATTACATTATGGTGAGTATGGACTTTAGTTTACCAAATGCAGTCACATATTGTGACACAAGATAAACATGATTGTATATATATATATAGTTGCAAGTGGGTCATGAGATGCTACACTTGATAAAATTGATCGGGTAATTTTAAATCGTAGATCTATACAATTAATCACCCATTAAGCATACATACAATATGTGTTTGTGTTATTATACGAAGATCTATGAATTAAATCACCCGATGTATTTCACTGAATGTAGCATCTAAATAACCTGTAGGAGTGGACTATAGTTAAACATATCGAATTCGTTTATTTATTTTGTTGAAATACAATGACCAAAAGACATCAATAAAAAAACAAAATACAATTAAGACCAATAGCAAACTCCATAAATGTCTCCGCCGTCCTTATGATAAAATCCATCTTCCCTCACCAAATAATTTTCTATTCCATATGTCACCAACCAATTAGATCTAAACACGTCAAAAGAACATCGCTTCGATCCCCACCGAAAGCGACAAAAGTAAAGAGTCGTCCCGATCCAATTAGAACGGAACGACCAGCTCACCTGCTCACCTGAATTAAGTCTCTGATTTGCGACCACATCATCTTTTGACGCACAGTAAACAAATAAGGAAGCAGAATTTGTGGGGAGTTCGTTATAAATATGAATATGATGTTTTCTGAGGAAGCTAGTTGCTTCAATCATATGAACCAAGTAGAAGAAAATCACAAATATGTAGAAAAAATTATTCATATGTGTAGAAGCCATTGTTCCTTTGATGAATTGGTTGTGGTTGGATGGATTCATTTTTGGGCCAAATTGTCACTTTAAATAGATGTTTAAAGATTGTATTATTCAAGGGCAATCCAAAATGATACAACTAACTTCTATTTATAGCTAACTAACAACTCTAATTAGCAGCTAACAACTAATCCACGTGGACGCTCGTGATTCGTGCATTGAGCGCCTCTTCTTAACCCTGCCTCATGATAGAAAAATGCGTTTTTATAAGTGAGTAACGCGTTTATCTATTCTTTTCTTTCATCCAAACGACACCGTTCGTGTCTAATAGTCATAACCGTTACATTGGCATATTTTTTGTAGGTATTTGATTATATTGTATTTAGAATTTTTATATATTACTCTCATCATTAGGAGAGCTCTCATATATGTTTATTTTATTCAGTGCTCTATATGGTTATTGGTTTGGTCGTCAAAACTTTTGCAAATAGATTACGAGTGCATTGATTTTTCTCGTTTGAATGTACTTCTATATTATAAAATTTAAATTACAGTAGACAATTCGACATTGTTATATAACTTATATTTACCTAAATCTATCTTATTAGGATAGGTAATTCGTTTAATGAAGATGGAATTAAAGTTATTTTAGAAAAATAATTTTTAAATTTACTCTTTAAAGTTGATTTTTCCTTTTCTTTTTCACCAAATTGGGAACAGTATCACGTAAGACAATAAGATTATTGTAGTGTTTTCACATTAATCTTAGGGGTTTTTATGCATAAGTCCCCAACCAAAAATCTTTATTATTCTAGCTTTAGAGGCTATATCTCTTTCACCAATAATTACATCCCTTTAATATTTATTATAAATAAAGGAAACATTCATATATATACCAATATTAACCTCAACCATTTATATCCAATTCTTAATTGTAACCCCAATTTAATTAATTTTGTCCACAAAAATCCGATTTTGACCACAAAAATTCAATTTTGACTTTTTTTGGATCATACTTTAATATGCTCCAATTTCATATTTAACTTAATTTAATCTCAATTTGACCACAAATTCCGGCGTTGATTTTTTTTTTCTTTCTTTCGGTTCGCCGGTTTCCGGCTTTGAATTTTTTTTTCTTTTTTCTTTTCTTTTATTCCGGACTTTTACGCTGGTTTCCGGCGTTGACTGTTTTTAGTGTTTTTTTTTTACACGTCCGCCATAAACGTTGACTGTAATTGTGCTGTCACTGACTGTAAATTAACGTAATTATACTGTCAATGACAGTTAATTAACGTAATTGTACTGCCGTTGACAATACAGTTATGTAATTGTTCTGTCGTTGACAGTAAATTAACGTAATATTATTATTTTTTATTTTTTGTTATTTTTTTTATTTTGTTTGATTTGTTGACAAGTCTACGTACTTATATTACTGCCGTTAACAGTAACATAACTGTAAACACAATAATATTACCGTCGACAACATCAATATTATTATTGTTTTGGGTTTTTTATTTTGTTTGAGTTATTCACGGAGTAACGTAATAATATTACTGTCTATTATTGTAATATTACTGTAAACACAATAATATTACTGTCATTGACGGTAATATTATTGTTGTTTTAGTAATATTGCTGTCAACCACATCAATATTATTATTTTGTTTGGATTTTTTTTGTTCGTTTGAGTTATTAACGGAGTAACGTAATAATATTACTGTCTATTATTGTAATATTACTGTGGTTGACGGTAATAAATTCTGTTGTTATAGTAATATTATTGTCACTCACAGTAATATTAATTCTTTTTGGCTTTTTATTATGTTTACATTTGTTGAACGGTCAACATAGTAATATTACTCTATTACACAATAATAATGAGTTTTGTGTGTTAATAGTACTGTGTTAGATATTAATATATCAATATTACTGTCTTAAACTGTAATTTAGTGAATTTACTATGTTTAACATTAATATGGTTAATATTACTGTCAATCACATCAATATTGTTGTTTAAACGAAAAAAAAAGTTACAGAAAGAAAGAAAAAAAAAAAAATATTCGAAAAAGTCAACGCTGGAGACCGGCGAAAAAATCCGGAAGAAAAAATTAAATTTATTTTTTGAAAAGTCAACGCCGGAGACCGGCGTTAACCACCGGTCAACACCAGAATCCGGCGGGAAAAATTGTTTTTTGAAAAAAAAAAGTTTTGGGTCAAAATTGAATAATTTGTGAAATTTGAGGTCAAATTGAGGTTAAATTAAGTTAAGGATGAAATTGGAGCATATTAAAATATGAGGGGTTATTTTAGTCCTTTACAAAAATCTGGACCACGTGTGGACTTATTGGTAAATGAGATTTTTGTCTGGATCTCTTTATCAATAAGTACCCATTTAAATGCTTATTTGTAATCACCCCTTAATCTTATTGTGTTGCTAGTCAACGGCGTGTAAATAAAATAATTCAAAAGTAAAAAGTTAAGGAAAAAAAATCAATTGCGAAGACCGGTGGTGGCCCGAAAAATATTCATATTTTTTTTTAAA